GTTGAGGAGGCATGGATATTTACTCACGGAAGTTCCAGAAGTTGTAGGCGCCCAGCACCAGCGCCAGAGCAGCCGAGTACGGAACCCATTCCTTCTTGACAATCAGGGTCCCCGCGACGAGAAGGACGGCCGGAACATAGACATAGTCGATGTAGTGGCGCGACAGCAACGAGTCCTTGGTGTTGGAAGCCATGGTGCGTGGTCAATCTGAAGTCCTGTAGTTCCCCACCAAACAGCAATGGCCTGATTTGTATGTATAAATGTTAGACGGCGGGTGATTCAACAAGGGGGGGGGAGAAAAAAAAGCCGAAGCAGAATCCAAGGGGAGGGGGGCCGCAAAGGAACCGCAGCCGGCAGTCTTAAAAGTGCCGCTTGGCTCTGCAGCAATTGGGCTTGCGGGAGAGAAAAGCAAAAAGAATATGACTATCAATGGGGACGCAACCGCACTCACGAATTCGAATTTGCAGACTGGGATGACAATGGGATACCGCCTGGTGAGCCCATCAGGTTGTGATGGCACTCGCGCGAGAAATTCGGAGATTCTAGTAAAGCCGTTGGTTGGCTGGGACGGCAGGGCGGGCGGGACGCGGTGAAGTTTTGCCGAACCAGACCTCACTCGAGCATGACTGGACGCCCGATCCTCGGCAGAGGGCCATTGAGAGCTGCAGGTCTGGGAATACGTAGCACATTCAGGTACCTGGGCTTCTGGAGGGTGCGCCCTGGGGCCTCCGGAATGGGGCCGGCGACGGCGCTCTAGGCCGTGTCGAGTGCCCCGAAGCTACTATTGTTGCCCTGAAGCTCGGAACCTGACGGTCCTGTTCCGATCAGTTGACCGGACCAGACTAGACAGAGACGTTCATGCTGCTGTGGCTGGTGTGCGGAGGGCTGTGGCTGTGGCTGTATTGTTGGCTGCATTGTGGCTGGGCCCCGGTTGATCCGGGGTAACAAAGATCCGACGCCGGGATCAAACAGACGTCATCTGAGTCTTGGGTTTTGTGGCCCTTTGACGGAAACAGTGGGTATGACTGCTCCGTATCTTTGCAAGTGGGTTACGGACGGATGCAGCCAGCTTCGGCCAACAGCCATATATATATAATCCACCACGAGTAACTAGATCCCGTCCTGTCGAAACACTCCGGACGGAGGTCTAGGCCGGGTCTAGTGCAACTGCACTTGTCATTGTGTGGCCGCGTACCAGACCAGGCTAGACAGAGACGTTCATGCTGCTGTGGCTGGTGTGCGGAGGGCTGTGGCTGTGGCTGTATTGTTGGCTGCATTGTGGCTGGGCCCCGGTTGATCCGGGGTAACAAAGATCCGACGCCGGGATCAAACAGACGTCATCTGAGTCTTGGGTTTTGTGGCCCTTTGACGGAAACAGTGGGTATGACTGCTCCGTATCTTTGCAAGTGGGTTACGGACGGATGCAGCCAGCTTCGGCCAACAGCCATATATATATAATCCACCACGAGTAACTAGATCCCGTCCTGTCGAAACACTCCGGACGGAGGTCTAGGCCGGGTCTAGTGCAACTGCACTTGTCATTGTGTGGCCGCGTACCAACAATGGTTTGCCTGGTCGCTAAATGTCAGCCATTATGTTGCAATTTGGACCAGAGGCTGAAGCTTCTTTACGAGCTAGGCGGAGTAACGCATATCAGCATCTGCCATCTCATCCGAGCTATCCGCGCCATTGGCCCTTCCCTTGACGAGGATTGACGTGGATCTGATGCTAATAAGCGACGATGAAGCTCATTCCCCATCATCCCAAGCCTCTGTTTTCACACATGGTTTTCATGTACTCCGTATGTATATATGCATGCGAAACGACAGATGCGAGGTTGAGAAGCTTCCCACCCCTTTGGCTGCAAGACGCATTACCCCAGCCCGGCCTCAAGCCCACATGCACGACTCGTATTAAATCTGTCAGACGTCCCTATCTACCTGTGACGCGCATGCTGCTCAAGACCAGTATCGCGCTTATACGGGTTCTGCCCCCCCACAACTCGGTAAAGCCGCAGCACATCGCAGAATATCTACGACAGTGTCCTGCTCGTTCGGGTTATTGGGTGGATAAGGACGTAGATAACCCTCGTAGCATGCGATTGACGCTGTGACCATTCAGTAGTCGACCCATCTGCCAAGAGCCAAATGAACTAACCATCACGAAGCGCCATTTACAATGTATAATAGTGCCTTTGCCAAGACACCAAAGAGCTCCTGGGGTGGAATTTTCTACCTTGGCCTCTGTTCACGTTTTCAATGGGCGGAATGACCGGCACAGCTGTGTGAAGTGGTCCTGAACGGCCGGTTAAAAAAAAAAAAAACGTAATATGGCCAGAAACACCCGCCAGGAGCTGAAATCTTGCGATACTTTTAGTACATACATCGGACCTCCAACCTGGCGGTCCGCTGGCCAGGAGTACTCCGCATGTAAGGTTCCTGGATAGTCGGCACGGCAATGGCCAAGCCTCACAGGCAGGTGCGTCACGACTCGCGTACTAAGTTAAGAAGCCATGTATTGTCTTGAAAAGTATACAGCACGGAGCGTTCTTTGTACAGGACAATTGAATTGATACACACGTGTGGTGTTTCCGAAGCACTAGGGGGGTAAAACCTTCGCACTTTGGTCGATTGTGGCGAGAGCCTCAGATTAGGGTTTGTCCCTTTGTCTCGTAACAGCAATGGTCCGGTACTGGTCACGGACTCGTTCCAAACAAGGCACGGATGGACGGTCTCCTGGAATCAATTGTATCTGTTGTATAAGCAGCGGTCAGTGAGGCAGTTCGACTTGACTGACAGAAATCAATTTGATCTACAGAGTCTTATGGTTCTTTTTCTTTACCCACAGTCTGCATGCACCTTGGTGGGCAGTGTGCATGGGCTTCAACGAGCCATCTGCGTATGGCGTTCCCATCCACGTCGGCTGGTCGAGATGGGGATAATGATTGGTCCGACGCTGCAATGCAAGGCTAAGCACACTTCGAGGCATTTGAGAGCTGCCGCTGCTGGGTGGTAGACAGGATGGAGAGGTTGTGAGGGAGGGAGGCTTCGTGGTTTGGTCGCGGCCCGCTAATGACGCTTGCCGGTCCACACAAGGCCAAGGGCCCATGTTTTCCAAGGTTGTTTAGCTTCCGTGAGAAGAGGCCGGAAAAAGAATGGCCCAGTCAGTACGGAGTAGTCACGAAGTTGCTGCGGACATGCTGCTTGCTCTTGCTCGTCGATGGCAAATGGGTCGTGGGCATCACGATCCCTGTCGAGCTGCAGCATGTTGTCGAGCTGCTTGGCTTGGCCGCGCCCACTTTTCTTTCAATCTTGACCTTGCGCACCGTCCCATCCCATTCTCAATCTCCATCGCAAAAGCCACTGCAACACCCTTGTCCATGACGTGACGCTTGGTCGGCCCCCGTGTAATACAATCACCAGTACGGAGTAGTTATTACTAGTTTTGTCGTGTGGGCGGGAGCACGACGACGAGACTCGCTCGGGTGAGGCTGGGTAAGGAAGCCAGCTGTCAACTTTGTTGTAGTTGTAAGTTTCAATGTTCCATCTGGCTGGGCCTCAAAAGACTCCGGACTCCTGGAACCCCAAGGCTTGGATGAAGTGACCCCGGAGCCGGCTCCAAACAAGACTGGCCCTTGACCTGGTCCAAAAATATCGTATTCTCCCCTTTGCCATGCCATGCCGTCCTGTCCTGTGACGCATGTTGCTTGATGTCTGACGACAACCCCCCCCCCATTTTTGCTCTTGGGTTTCTTAAGGTGGTGTCGACCTCGACTGCACACCATAATCCTTTGTCTGTTTGCTTTCGTTTTCTCAACAACAAGCACAAACGGTGCAAAGAAACAAGAAACGAGCGATTGAGCCCCAACAGGGCCTGTGTCCGTTTTAGGATCAAGTTGGCCATTTAGCCAAGCTTCTTTCGCCCTCCTCCTTCTATTCTGAAAGCCCTTCACCCGCCTAGCATTGGCCAGTGTGCCATCTCGGTTGGCGTCGTTTCTGGGGCAGGAATCCGGATAGGAAACTTTAAGACATCTATCTCTCTTTTTCCGTCTTCTATCCTCACTTCCCACGTGCCCATCTTCCCCTGCCTGGATGAATGCGTACGCCATAACTTATATCCTCTCTCAATTATCGGAAGGTTTGGTCCTGGGCTCATCCCGCGATCGGGCCTTGACAACCTTGACAACCTTGGCTGACTGGGACTGCGTCGCCTCAATTTGGTGCCCGTAACCTTGAGAGCTCTTGGATTTCGTTTCTATCTAGGTCGGGTCATCTCCAGCCGTTGCTCTTTTGTCTTCTTGATTGCTGCTTTGCTTCAGGAAGTTCTTATCCTGGCTCTTTCCCTGCATTTCCATACAGGGCGTCCAGTTAGGCAAGGGGGCTTTTTGCTTGGCCTTTTTTTTTTATTGGCTTGGTTGAACTGTGAAGAGCATCGCCTTCACTCTTGCGCCTCTTGTCCTCAACTGCCTGCACACAAGGGATCGATAAGGATCAGTTCTCAAGGACGGAAACTATTACTAGGTTGACAATTTGCCACCGCCCGTGACATTGTGATAACGCGCAACGGGTAAAGATATTCTAGTTGCCGCTCAGTGTCGGGATATTGTTTCCGGAGTGACGGATGCGGGTGCGCTTGCACTAGAGCCGGACTCTTCTGACGGTTTTTCGACGATCGTGCCGTTGGCAGCTTGTTCGAATTCCAAGACAGGGCCTGTGGCTGAGACATCTGCTCCTTTGGCTACACACCTCACGTCATTCAGCATCAGTGAAGACTATCATTCATTGCTTCCCCGGAGCCGAGTCGATACCGCGGGCTTCGGCTTCATTGCCATTGCAACTGCACTCAGTTCGAGCTTGCAAAAATTGGCTTGTGGCTATATCCTTTGTCTCTCGCCATGGTCTTTTAAGACCTACTCTCGATGTGTCCATCGATCTGTCAGCCGTGGGATTAAAAGCACGAAACGCCTAGACCTTGATTTCTAGCAACCGAATTTCGCAGCCATGAACATCGAACGATGGAAACGTAGGTCGGCCTCTGTGCTTTCCTTGAACTTGCCAGCGACAAACCATTACGATGCCAAGTCGCAATCTCAGCCTACCGAGAGCAAGGCTCCTCGGGTTCTTACCCGCGCCCTTCGGTCGTTGAGTAGTTCGAGCATGGACTCTATAACCGCGACCTCTACTAGAAGCAATTCCACGCGCAAGCTACAGAAGACACCGTCTTCGGGTTCTTCTTCCATGATCGATCGCCTTCAGAAACGGGTATCCAAGGACTCCCCTATAACCGATCGCCCAGGAAGCCCAACCGAGCAACTACAACCGTACTCAGCAATGGAAGTGCTTCACTGCGGATCACTCAAGACTGATGTCTCGCTTCTCAAAGCGAAATCTGAATATTTGGTCCTATCGGATCAGGTATTGGTAAAGTTCAACAACGGGGACTCTGCCCGCACCGCTTTCCCGCAACTCCTTGGAACTTCCCCTGACGGCCACAATACATTACCATGTCACCACACAACCAGCAAACTTTCTTCTGGCGACGTGCGTCTGGAAATTTCGCTCCGCTCAGTCGTTGCGGCCTTTAATGAAGACAGCGCCGGCAATCGATCTGGTATCGAAATCTGGTGGTTTTCGCCGTGGCCAAAGCTGGCATACTCCAAGGCACACTTCTATTTTTCCTCACCCAAGGAGCGAGATCTTTGGCTGGCTTCAATTCATCGCGCATTTAGGGCAAAGCTCAGAAAATCATCCAGCAGTGCATTGATATCGGATAACTTGAGGAGTCGTATTGATCATATTGTCCGAGCTGCTGAGGGGTCCGCCGACGCTGGGTACCAGAGCATCATCTTCCCAGTTGCAAGACGGGTTTTTGGAGGGAGTATGAAGGGTAGCGCAACGGAGGAGGCACCTGATAATTCAGATATCTCGTCCTTCTTCCTTATCATAGGACCATGTATGTGTCATTTCGTGGAGGTCCTGAAGGCTGACCATGCTACTCCCCCTGGCGACCTGCGTGTAAAAGCCATTTCCTACGGCACTGTTACCTTGACTCGCTTCAAAGCGTCTGTGGCATCACACGAGCATCGATTCGTCATGTGTTTCAGGTAAGCGCAAAAATAGGTGATGATCGTGTCATGCTGCATAGGTGCTAAGCAATCTAGATCTCCGTTTGGCCGCGAGACGAGAATTGATCTCGCCAGCTCCCAGTATCGGCGTATCATCGAAACACTGACGAAAGCAGATCGAATTCTGAAGCCCATGTGGCCACAGCATTTCCAGCAGGTTATATTTGATATCAGAGGCCTTCCGCCCCCTCTGCAGCTGACATCTGGGAATGATCTTGGCGGATTAAAGCGAAGTCTGGAAGCATATTGTGCTGCGTATCAAGTTCAAGTACCAAATTGGACCATTGACTGGAGTCCTCCGCCCCAACCTGCTTTTCGATTGTTGCCTTCCAATGGCCGGGCGTACTCCCCCATGCAGCTTCTCGCAGTCTTCCGGGCTTTGCGATACAATAGCTTCTTCAAAGCCATCTCTTTTCGCGGCGTGGATCTCTCTTCTCTCGTCGGTAAGAACGACAAGTCAAAGTACGGGGATTCTCTTGCCTACAAATCCCTGAACGGTACGTAGCTGAACGTGGTTCAAATGCTAAGCGTTATTTGATCCATCTTCTGACCATACCCTAGGTGTGACGATATCTGAAGAGCACCACGAAATTCTTCTCCAGTCGCCGATTCTGGAGCAGGAGATCCACGCCCTACTCTTCGCATCAGAATCCATTCGGAGTCTGGATATGTCCAATGTGTTGGGTCTGGGGGACAGGGCAAACAGGCTGAGTCGATATCAATATGATTTGACAAGTCTCAGTAAGACGACGTCGGAGATCCTGCGACCGTTCTTGGAGTTGTGGCGACGGCAACTTTGCATTTGTCACAGCATCTCCTTGTCCGGAAACCCCATTGCCCTAGATGACTTGGATGAATTCGGTAAAATCTTCCCTGTCCTCTTGTGCGAGATGAAAACTGGCTGCTAACATGGTTCGAAAAGCCGATCTTTTGACTATGGACCAGGTTCATCTCCGTAGGATCGACCTGTCCAAGTGTTCGCTAGGCGATGCTGGACTGTCAAAGTTATGGGTTAGCCTTGCTGGCCAAGCAGATTCTCTAGAGTGGATAAACACATCGAACAACCAAGGAGTTGTGCGTTTTGAAATTATCCAAAGCACTCTGAGCGGATTGAGGAGGCTTTCCAAGCTGGAAATTGCTGGAAACACCCGTATCTTGTCAGAGGAGTCTTTATTCGACGAGTTGACAATGCAAGCTTGGCAACTCCAGGAGCTAGACCTCTCCGGGATCATGGTAAGTTCAAATAGTGTTCCTGTTAATCAAAGTTTTGTTAGCTAACGCAAAGACTGCAGCTTAACGATGCTACGGTGGATGCCTTGTCGAATTATTTACAGACTGCTACTTCGGGGAGCCTTCATACGATGCGCCTCAACAACTGCGGACTGACTGGCGTGCAGCTTGCACGGCTCTTTTACGCCATGGGTCGAGCGAGGCCAGTAGAACTTTACATCAATGGCAGCCGTCTGGATGAAGGAGTGGATGATTTGTGCATGGCCATTGCTGAAGGGTATGGCCCTTGGTGTCTCTTTGTCCAAATGGTTGAATTTGCCATGGAAGCCAATTACATCAAGCTTCTCAAAGCCCTGACGGTCAACACGTCGATCGAGTGCCTCAGTCTCGCCGGGACATCGACGCCAGACGCCGCTAGTAGTGCGGCGTGTCAAGCAATCGCAGATTTCTTTGCCAAAAATTGCACGGTTCGTTTCTTGGATATTTCTGGCTTCGATTCAAGACTGGACGAGGGTAGGCTTGGGCGAGAATTTTCCAAGGCACTCATTAGCTTACGGACAAACGAGAGCATCGAGCATCTTCGGGTCCGCAGCCAGATGCTCAACATCAACATTGGGGACTTGGCAGAGGCTATCTCCGAGAATAAGACTCTCCACACCCTTGACTGCGAAGGGAATGATTTCAATCTTTCCAATTATCGACACCTCGTCTCCTCCCTGGACCAAAACACCACTATTCGATACTTTTCCGCATTTTCTGCAGAAGAGCTCAATAAGGCAACCTCCAAGTCAGTAGAAACTGCTGTAACTGGTGCACCTGCCCGTCGGCCATCAGTAATTTCCAGATTCAAGTCGGATAAAGTTGCGAACGGGAGTACCAAGCCGCTGGTGCAGCGGCTGAAGGATGAATGGGACACAGTGGCATCAGACTTGGCGCGAATTCTTCGGCGAAACCAAATCCTGTTTGATCACGAAAACACAGCTGAGCCAGATGAGAGCTCTTCTCAGGAGTACCACAGAAATAGTATCACGGAAGTGGCCTTCTCCACGGCCTTTGGGGGATTGCCCCTCAAGGACCTCCAGAGCCAACGAGCAAAGGGTGTTCGCAGCTCTCAGGACCCGCAACAGGCGGTTTCTGGAGACCTGGCTGTTCGGCGGCATAGTCGGTATGGGTCGATCGGGTCGCGGGAGCTGGCGACGCGGCCGGTGTCTATGATATCTAGCGAGATTGCCGCCAGCCCGTCGACTGAGGAAGACAGCAACGGGTCAAGTGGCGCGCCAACACCTCCGGAATTTGAAAGCCCCATTGAAGAAGAGTTTGGTCTGGCGGCCGAAATTTTTGCATCGACAATCTTTGACGAGCAGAATTATACCTACTCTGATGGGCATGATGCCGACGATGGACTGCAAATGAAGAGACATAGGCGATATATGGGCGACCCGACGAGCCGCATCGACGAGGAGGATGGCGCAAATGATGCAGAGTTGCCATGAGAGAGAATAGAGTGCTTTAGAAATGTGATGGGGCCGCAGAGACGTATGCACATGTACACCGTTTACGCAGCCGGATGGCTTTATTGGATTCGGGGACAGGTGGGACTGTAACTTTTTATGTTTTGTGATAAGCGGGACTCGTGCTTGTATGGAGTTGGCAAGGCATGAGGCGCATGGACGGCGTTTTGTTGGAATATGGGAATCATTGGCATTCGCTCGATACCCCCTTATTAATATGTTTGTTTCTTTGGCCTAGTTGATTGTAGTTTGAGAGACAGCATATGAGAAATGACATGGGAAATGCATTATGAAAATAGTGCAGTATATGGCTGTCCCAGGGCAAGTGGTAACTTTAGTGTGGCCTGGGATCGAAGCTACCGGCGACCAGTCTTGGGTCCACGGAGTACTGTCTTCAACAGTCCGTTTTCCGTGTAGCTATTGTATTGTTCTGAAGATTGTCGGCGGCGTCGTCGACGTCGTTGTTCGAGGACAAGCACCTGTGACCTGGGGGCTGTGGGGCAAAAGGCACTAGGCCTGGCGTCTGACACTGGTGCCCAACACTTGAACCACTGCGCCACGCAATTCGACCCATTTGGCCCCTATCTTGGCAGGCGGTGGCCTCTTCACCGGCCCGGACAACTCCTACCCCGTATGCCGCAGTTCTCCCCTCCGTATGGGTTCAATGTTGGTATTGATGGAGTCTAGGGCCGACGGGAGCCAGCGAGGCGACATAATCCCCATCCAAGCTCCTGCTACGCCCAAGCTTTCGTCATCCTTTCTTCCATCCTCCTCCATCACCTCTCACACCGTCAACCCCCCTCGCAACAATTTTGCGTCGGTGATTGACTTGTATTGTTTCGGGCGTCTTTCTTTTTTCGCTTCCCATTGTGTTTTGCCGGTTCACTCCCCATTGTCCGATTGCTTCGCGCTCTACTACCTCCCCTCCATTGCGGAGCTTCTCGCTCCGGAGGCCCCGACCCCCCGAACGACTCGGTTCGGCCACTATCACGACAGCCTCTGGAAGTTGTCTCTATTGAAGCTCCATCGTTCGACGAGCCACCCATCTGATCATGTACTCCAGCTCAAACGCCTTCCTCGGCGGCAATAGCCAACGGCCTGGCGGCCAGCAATATGGCGCGGGTTCCTTCAACACCGCCATGGGACCTGGTGGCCCGCAACAGCAACAGCCTAGCCCCTTTGCGCCGCAACCCACGGGATTCGCGCAGCAGCCGTTGCAGCAGCAATATACTGGCTTCCCAATGCAGGCCCAGCCGACAGGGATGCCACAATCATCGCAACAGCCGCTTCAGCAGCAGTATACGGGATTCCCTGGCCAGACACAGCCTCAACAGAGCTACCAGACCGGGGCTGTTCCTCCGATGCCGTCGATTCCCTCGCAATATCAACAGCAGTTTCAGCAACAGCAACAGCAACAGCACCTGCAGCAGCCGCAGCCGCAGCCGCAGCCGCCGCCGCACCCGC